ATGCGATGTCAAGATCTCCAGCGAGCTGTTCCGCGCAGAACAGACGCCTGCATCTGCAGCAGTGGTCGACAAGACCTTCTGATCCGCAGTAACTGCACATATCAGTAGCCATCATGCAAGGAACGCACATCCGCGACCATCCGTCGTAGCAAGGCCCACAGACCACTTTCTCACACTTCTTGCACTCGTGGTGCGGGGTACTATGCACATTGCCTTGGATCCCCTCCATCGCGCAGCGCCTCGGAGGTGCCCCCTTTCCGCCTTCTTCAGCCGGGGCGGTGTTGGGGAAGTGATGTGTTTCCCGCCAACGTGGGCCATGTCGCTTGCAACCGAGGCACATCCTGTCCCATGAGCTGTAACATTGATTGCACACGTCGGCCTGACAAGACTCACATATGTGCACGGCGTTGGGATGGATTTCTCCCATTACAGCTTCATAAGGACAACGGGCAGGCCCTTCGCCTTCACTTCCCTTCCTCTCGCCCTTGCCAACTTCGGGGCTAGGCGAGTCATCACGATTACTAGGAGGTACACCCGCAGCACCCGTGTTTCTCCATGGACGATCACGACGGGATTGGCCACCATACGAGCCCTTGCCGGATTCGCGCCTCCTCTCCCTACGACCTTCGCCTCCTTCCTCGGGGTCGGCATGACCACCGTGATGGGAAGCAGAGGATCGATCGTTCGCCTCAGACACTTCGTTCCGAGAGGCCGCTGCGACAAGCAACGGATTGACCTTCTCGTGCAACTCGGTGGCCTGCTTCTCAGCATTCTCGGACGTTCGTGCAATTGACCTTACCCGTGAGGAGATCTCCGACTCAGAAACCTTCCTGTGCTCCGCACTCTCCCTGAGGCATTTAGACATCTCCTCAACCTTCCCTCTCAGGACCTCTACTTCAGCAGCGACTAGGCGATCCCTTTCCTTCAATGTCTCAAGAAGCTTCGTGGAGTCCTCCTCCTTTCGCTTCGCACTCTCCTGCGACGACATGACCGTCTCAACTTCGCTCTTTTGCTTCTTGAGCGCGGTTCCGACCACCTCCCTGAGCTTCAGAAGATCGAGCTTGTCTTTGGCGATCGCATTCTCAGACCTAGTCACTCTGTCCCCGATCTCGGCCACAAGCTTCCTCAACTTGAGCACTGCATCACGGGTCGCGCCATCGACAGGGGCGCTTCCGCTAGCGGGACTTTTGCCATCAGAGGCAGAGGCGACCTTCTCCTCAATGACCGAGATCCTCGACATTGAAGACCTCAGATCATTGCACATGACCTTGACGTTCCCCTCGAACGCACGCAGCCACTTCAAGAGCTCGAAGCTTTCCATGCACCGTCCCCACTGGTGAGCTCCGTCTGCACTGTGGAGTCCTGCATGGGTCGCGCGGCAGACGCACCCCCAGCTTGGCCACTTCCATGCTCACCTTGGGACTGACTTCCCTGACTGGGGGAAGCGCCAACAACTGCTCGACCCATCGAGTCATCGCCGTCAGAGCCGATCCCCGTCTTCTGTAGCTCCCGCGACCTGCGAAGTCTCTCCCCCGACGGGGGACATGATGAGGACCTGACGCAGCCTCGGAAGACGAGGCTATGGGAACATCCACTCCGTCGAGAACGTCCGGCCATGTCTTAGTGACGCTCACTGTCGATGTTGGCCTCTGGGATCTCGCTGGGAGTTCTGAAAACCTGCGCAGCCGGAATAGCATCCGAGTCGTTCCTTCTCCTCCGGGTTCAGTAGCATGGGGCTGTCAGAGATGAGCTATGCAAAGGGAGACACCGCCGCGGCAACCTGACAGGGGTCGGCCGGGACAGTGGAAGGCTCATCAGAAGGGCCAGACTTTTCTCCTCCTGCACGCTGCCTGCTGCGCTGTTCGACGGCCGCCATGAGCCTGTCGTCATCCTGCTGCTCCAACTCCTAAAGATGCCTCCGGAACAGGTCGTCGACATTGACAGCCTGTTCACCCGGCTTAAGCTTGAACTTTGGAAACGGCGGGATCTCTGGGAGAGGCTCAGCTGCGGGCGGCATGCCAGCACAGCCTCCCTCAGTCACTGGTGTGTGGACGGAGAAGAACTCCGGCGTCCCTATGTGAAAGCAAGTCCCGGCAGAGGACCTCCAGACTGCTCCTGCTGCGCCCGATCTCCCGACATGGGACGAAAAGGCCCAGAACCTGAGGGCAGACCATTACAAGACTGTATTGAGTACCGGGCCCGCCGCCAAGGGCAGCCCCAAGAGTTCCGTGTGTGCCCTCTGGAGCACCAACAGTACCCTCCATCAGACATGGCACCACTCCCAGATCCGGCTCAAGGCACGGACTCTGCTCTCCTTTTCAGTTCGCGGGGCCGATTGGCTCCCTCCACACCATTCTCTTCTCGGCCTCTCACACTTCCTGTTGAGGCGGCGCCAGTACCATCCCTGGGCCTGCGCCTTCTGACGCCCCTCTCACACTTGGCTCACCCTGAGCTCTCGCTTCTCCGGTTGAGGTGGCGCCAGTGTCATCTCTGGGCCTAGCGCCTTCTGACGCCCCTCTTCCACCAGGCAAATTCGTGCCTCGTTTAAAACTCGTTTCTGTTGCGTTAAAACCGCTGCTGGTGCGCACAACCACTGTTTGCAAGTCAATCTCGCGCTCATGCACTCCCGTGTCCCCAGGCCCAAACCGGTCACATTCTCCCGATGCTTCGCCTGACGCTCCCTCCCCAGTGGCCTCAGGCTCCGTCATGAGGAACTGCAAAGCGCGGCCAGTCCGCCAAAGACCTGTGGGCCGTTGGTTCACCTACAGAGTTGGCACCAACATGCAACGCTCCCTCACCATCCGGCCTGTCCAACAGAGACAAGACACCAGAGTGGCTCGGTACTGACACCTCGTCAAGTGAAGGGCGGCCTGCCGAAGATCTCCAGGTCAGTGGGCCCAGTCGCCATGGACTGGTCTCCTGCATCACCGTCCTGAGAGCCATCCAAAATCTCCCGCACTTCCCCCAGCGAGGTCTCGACATGATCCCTCCTGGAAGTGGAAGTCCCGAGCAGTTCCATCCCTCTAAAACTCGACGGAATAGATCCCCAGTCAATGGAGTACACGTCCAGTGATGCACCGCCAGTAGATCCAGTCACTGGAAAGCCGCTCCAACTCGGTGAAAACGATCGTCCAGGTGGCCCTCGTCCGTAATGGCTGCCATCTGTGAAGAGGCGTCCGGCAGAGACACCTCCCCCAGGGGATCTCGGTCATCCCACACCGTCTCAATGGGGTCGTCCACGTGGCCTCCATCCACATGACCCACAGCTCTGCCAGTGGGATTCGACATAGATCCCCTGGCCAACTCCTCATGCACTGACACCTCAAATCCGCGTCCGCCCGACCTGGCAGCGGTCGGGCCCTCAATGGGGTCGTCCAGAAGCTCTCGACTCGACAAGAGTCGGATTCTCAATGGGATCATCCAGAAGTCCCAGTACTGAATCTCTTGCATGCCCGTCACGACTCTCTCTCAATTCACCAAGAGCATCAACCAACCCATCATGACTCACGCAATCCACCAAACCCTCATGACCCCCAACCCCAGCATTCGAAGCAGCCCCGTGCAGCATCTGGCGTAGGATCCACTCCTCGTCGATCGCACCTGATGCAGACTCCACAGGATCTTCGAATCCCGGCTGGGGATCCGGACCTGTCTCCAGTGGAAGGCTCGTCCAAGAAGTCCAGCTCCGTTGAGGGGCGGGGGGCCGGCAAGGCAACCCCCGCCCCGTCATCCTGCAAACTCGTCATCGGAGACCTCGATGACTCCATTGGGCCACGACAAGTAGCCCGGTCACCAGCGTAGGCCGAGGCCTACGGCTGATAACCTGGAGAAACCTGGGAAACCCCGTTACCCAAGTTCCCAAAAGGGGGAAAAACCGGGCTTCTCGACACAAGAAACCCCCAAAGCACAGGGAAACCCACGCAGGTGACCAAGAGGAAGAGGAAGATTGAAGTAATGCTTGATGGTGTGGTTGAAGTAGTACAGGTTGCAGAGCAAGACCACAAATGAACACAAAGACCAACGAGGTATCAGAAGAGCAGGCGACGGCGCACCAACACGAACGCCTATGGCCCGGCCCGGATGCCGCCCCGCCCACGCCCTTTTTTACCTCACGCCAGACCTGTCGTCCACGTGCAGGCTTGAGCCAAGGCCGCAGAATCCACGGCCTTGGAACATGTACGAATACTTACTGATTGCATGCCAAACCACACCTCCAAATGACATAGCCATCTGCAAGACCAAAACATGAAACATCAAACTGGCCTTTTTCTCAAGCGCAAACTCATAATCACAAAAGTTAGGAACCAAGTTGACATGATGTTCAAGTCCTTGACCTGTGGTGGCACAAAGGCTCCCATCAACTTCATCAGACTGAAGCCACCGACCAGCACCATCCATGGCTTGACACGCACTTGGTGCCTTCGGTTCATGGCTACAACAAGGAGTGTGCCAACACCACTCCATGCAGTTTTACTCCATCCAATCTTCCTTAGTCTTTTTTAACATATTTTACACATTGTCTAGGTTGGCTGAGTTTTGGTGAGGTGTTTTGTTGTAGGCTTCTGTGCTGAATCTATGCACATGCTTCTGTACAAGTATGCTGTTGGAGTTGTTGATGATGTTGATGTGATGGTGTGTTGTTAGGTTTTTTGTGTGGTGTTTTGTGTACATGTTGCTGTGGGAGCTGGGGCGGGGTATAGTATTGAACTGGGGGTTGAGGCTTTTTCAGGTCTTTCAGAGTCATGATCCTCGCGAACCTCATGTCACGACTCAAGGTCCATGCCTGGTTTCATTGCAGATTTGCGAATCTCCAGGATCTGCTTCGTAGACAATGCCTTGAAGAAAGTCACGAGCCGGGGGACACAACTCACAGCCCTTCTTGTTCATCTTCAGGAAAAAACGAAAAAAGGGTAAAGCAAATCAAACATAAACACACCCGATTTCGGAAATGTTGAAGTGCAGGTGCATAGATTTGGATCAGCATGCCTGAATCATCTTTTTGCCTATTTGCGAATATCTGTGAATGGGATTTCAAAATGCACCATCTCACATAGCTGACACTATGCATGCGTTGTGCTTACGGGGCTGGAAAACATGCACAAGCAAGACAGCGAAGGAGCTGAAGTCTTCCGTCCAATTTCGCAAAAGATCGGTCATGGATTTGCCAGTTGCGCTTCAGCGGCTTCCTTATGCAATGTGGAAGCAAAAAAGAAGCGCTTCTTGATAGGGTGAAAATACACAGCATGACAACTCTTGTTGCGAATTAGCGCGGCAAGCTCCCGAGGGAGGATGCGAATGCTGTTGAAAACCTCTGGCATGCCTTCAGGATAAACTTTGAGGAGCTCTTGCGACATCTGGCGTCCGTTGAGCTTAGGATGAACCTGCAACTCCATGAAGCCGACAGCTTCTGCTGTAGCAAATCGCCGATACTCTTGCTTCGTGTCGTTTAATGATATTCCCTTCCTTGGCTTTCAAGAACACGCACAACAAAAACAAATACGAGGTTCAAACACCGAAAAAGTAAATCATCATTCGTTCAAGCCAGGCGCTTCAGATTCTCACAGGCCTTCGCCAAGTCGCCAATCCGGAAGCCACCTGAAATGAACTCAAAGTCCCCCCCGAAAAAACGCTTGAACGCAGCAAGCACACCTTCATCAATCAACATGTTGTTGTATTGAGCTGAAGCACAAGCATCCACGAAGTCTTTCCAATTCTTCTCATGCCCATGCAGTGCCAAAAACTCCTTCGCTTCCTCCTCCGTCAAGTCGCCAACCCAAATGTCTTCCTGTCTTTCAGTTCCACCAGCATCGAAAGCCAGCGCCACTGCTGCCGAGGAGGCTGATACAATCAGCTTGGACAAAGGATAAGTGGACGGAACTACATTCACTCAACATGGTTTTGTTTGAAGCCATTGACGCATTTCTGAGTACAGAGAACGGACATATGCTCTGGAACGCATCCATCGCCACATCCTTCGCAGTAGAAGAGATTAAGTTGATGCCTCGGCGAGCGGAACGGAAACAAACAGACTAGGGCAAAATGCGTTACAGCATCGCTCGAAAACTGAAAAAACATATTTTGTCCAGCCAGTCCTTCGGTGGTACGAGGGACTTCGAAGGAGATTAAACTTGGTGAGGTTGTTTGGGAAGTCCTTGAGCTTCTCGGGCGCAGGGAGACGAGACTCTTTGAACAGCCCTTCGTCATCTACTCCCAGTTGCTTGCACATCCGATCTGCCCAATCAGCACTTCTGATGGTGAATCGAACAACACCTCGCACCCCGCGCAAGGCTTCTTCTGTTGCCACAGACTTTCCTGACTGGTACCGACCCCCAATGATGGTCGCATGTTGTTGCCAGCTCGCAATGCGTTGCCGGAGAGTTTCCATCACTGGCCTTTGGATAACCTCGTCTTGCGGCCTGCTGGGTTCAAAAGGCTCCATGGTCTTTGCCAGCGCTTCTTGGATTTTGCCTTCTGGAGAGGCTTTGAACGCCGCCACCAATTGCCCAAATGCGAAGGCTGCACTTGCCACGCTAATGAAGAAGTCGCGGTTTCGCCCAACGTCGTCAACGAATTGTTGAAAATCCCTTCCCGACGTGTCAGAGGCATAGGCTGGGGCTGCCATGATGCATAGCCAACCACATGCCCAATGCCGCGTGGCCCAAGGCGTGGTGGGCATCTCACTGGAACCGCCTCCAAATGACATAGCCATCTGCAAGACGAAAACATGAAACATCAAACTGGCCTTTTCTTACGCACAAACGCTTAACCACAGGAGTTAGGAACCAAGTTGACATGATTTTCATGTCCTTGACCTGTGGTGGTGGCACGAAGGCTCCCATCAACTTCACCAGACTGAAGCCACCAACCAGCACCATCCATGGCTTGACACGCTTTTGGTGCCGTTGGTTCATCGGGTTCATGGCTACAACAAGGAGTGTGCCAACACCACTCCATGCACTTTTACTCCATAATATTTCTTAGTATTGTAAACATTATTTTACACATTGTCTAGGTTGGCTGAGTGTTGCTGGTGTTTTGTTGTAGGCTTCTGTGCTGAATCTATGCACATGCTTCTGTACAAGTATGCCGGTGGGGTGTTAATGACGTTGATGTGATGGTTTCTTGCTAGGTTTTTTGTGGTGTTTGGTGTACATGTTGCTGTGGGAGATGGGGCGGGGTATAGTATTGAACTGGGGGTTGAGGCTCTTTCTGGTCTTACAGAAGTCATGATCCTCGCGAACCTCATGTCACGACTCACCTGGCCAAAAAAACAGCAGCCAAGCTGCAAAGACTCCAAGGTCCATGTCGGGTTTCATTGCGTGCGAAACTCCAGGATCTGCTTCGTGGACAAGGCCTTGAAGAAAGCCACGAGCTGGGGGACACAACTCGCAGCCCTTCTTGTTCATCTTCAGAACCCAACAAAGCACGAAAAACCGGTAAAGCAAATCAAACGCAAACACACCCGATTTCGGAAATGTTGAACTGCAGGTGCATGGATTTGGCTCAGCATGCCTGAATCGTCTATCCTTGAATGGGATTTCAAAATACACCATCTCACATAGCTGATACATCTGATACTATGCGTGCGTTGTGTTTACGGGGCTGGAACAAATGCACAAGCAAGAACGAGCTGAAGTCTTCCGTCCATTTTCGCAAAAGAGGAGGCAAAAAAGAAGCGCTTCTTGATTGGGTGAAAATACACAGCATGACAACTCGATGCGGATGCCGTTTAAAACCTCTGGGATGCCTTCCGGATAAACTTTGAGGAGCTCTTGCAACATCTCGCGCCCCGTGACCTTGGGGTGCACTTGAAGCTCCATGAAGCCGACAACTTCCACAGTAGCAAGTCGCTGATACTCTTGCTTAGTGTTGTCCAATGACATTCCTTTCCTTAGTTCAAGAGATACAAAACAAATATCCCTGAGAGGTTTTGAACACCGAAAAAGTAAATCATCATCCGTTCAAGTCAGGCGCTTCAGATTCTCACAGGCCTTCGCCAAGTCGCCAATCCGGAAGCCACCTGAAATGAACTCGGTCAAAGTCCCCCCAAAAAAACATGAACGCAACTTGAACGCGGCAAACACACCTTAATCAACCAACATGTTGTTGAATTGAGCTGAAACACAAGCATCCACGAAGTCCTCCCACTTGTTCTCATGCCCATGCAGTGCCAAAAACTCCTTCGCTTCCTCCTCCGTCAAGTCGCCAACCCAAATGTCTTCCTGCCTTGCAATGCCTCTGCATCAAAAGCCAGCGCCACTGCCGCCGAAGAGGCTGACACAATCACCTTGGACAAAGGATAATCAGACATAGATACCACTCCCTCAACATGGTTTCCGTTTGCAACATTGGAATTTTGCATTGAAGCTGGGGGGCATGAATGGCACTTCCGATTTTGTCCGTCGCCACATCCTTCGCAGTGGAAGAGATTAAGTTGATGCCTCGGCAAGCGGAACGGAAACAAAAGGACTGGGGCAAAATGCGCTACAGCATCGATAGACAACTGAAAAACATATTTTGTCCAGCCAGTCCTTCGGTGGTTGTACGAGGGACTTCAAGAAGAGGATTGGAAACTTGGTGAGGTTGTCGGGAAAGTCCTTGAGCTTCTCGCGCGCTCGGCGCATGACCTCTTTGAACAGCCCTTCGTCATCAACTCCCAGGTGCTTGCACATCCGATCTGCCCAATCGGCACTTCTGATGGTGAATCGCACAACACCTCGCGCCCCGCGCAAGGCTTCTTCTGTTGCCACAGACTTGCCTGACTGGTACCGACCCCCAATGATGGTCGCATGTTGTTGCCAGCTCGCAATGCGTTGCCGGAGAGTTTCCATCACTGGCCTTTGGATGACCTCGTCTTGCGGCCTGCTGGGTTCAAAAGGCTCCATGGTCTTTGCCAGCGCTTCTTGGATTTTGCCTTCTGGAGAGGCTGTGAACGCCGCCACCAATTGCCCAAATGCGAAGGCTGCACTTGCCACGCTAATGAAGAAGTCGCGGTTTCGCCCAACGTCGTCAACGAATTGTTGAGAATCCCTTCCCGACGTGTCAGAGGCATAGGCTGGGGCTGCCATGATGCATGAGCCAACCACATGCCCAATGCCGCGTGCCCCAAGGCGTGGTGGGCATCTCACTGGAACCGCCTCCAAATGACATAGCCATCTGCAAGACGAAAACATGAAACATCAAACTGGCCTTTTCTTACGCACAAACGCATAACCACAGGAGTTAGGAACCAAGTTGACATGATTTTCATGTCCTTGACCTGTGGTGGTGGCACGAAGGCTCCCATCAACTTCACCAGACTGAGCCACCAACCAGCACCATCCATGGCTTGACACGCTTTTGGTGCCTTTGGTTCATCGGGTTCATGGCTACAACAAGGAGTGTGCCAACACCACTCCATGCACTTTTACTCCATAATATTTCTTAGTATTGTAAACATTATTTTACACATTGTCTAGGTTGGCTGAGTGCTGCTGGTGTTTTGTTGTAGGCTTCTATGCTGAATCTATGCACATGCTTCTGTACAAGTATGCCGTTGGGGTGTTAATGACGTTGATGTGATGGTTTCTTGCTAGGTTTTTTGTGGTGTTTGGTGTACATGTTGCTGTGGGAGATGGGGCGGGGTATAGTATTGAACTGGGGGTTGAGGCTCTTTCTGGTCTTTCAGAAGTCATGATCCTCGCGAACCTCATGTCACGACTCACCTGGCCAAAAAAAACAGCAGCCAAGCTGCAAAGACTCCAAGGTCCATGTCGGGTTTCATTGCGCGCGAAGCTTCAGGATCTGCTTCGTGGACAATGCCTTGATTAAAGCAACGAGTTGGGGAACACAACTCGCAGCCCTTCTTTTTCATCTTCAAGAGAAAAAAGGAAAAAGGGAAAAACAAATCAAACAGAAGCACCCCCGTTTTCGGAAATGTTGAAGTGCAGGTGCATAGATTTGGATCAGCATGCCTGAATCGTCTTCTGACCTATTTGCGAATATCCTTGAATGGGATTAACAAATGCACCATCTCACATAGCTGCCACTATGCATGCGTTGCGTGTATGGGGCTGGAAAACATGCACAAGCAAGACAGCGAAGGAGCTGAAGTCTTCCGACCATTTTCGCAAAAGATCGGTCATGGATTTGCCAGTTGCGCTTCAGCGGCTGTCTTATGCAATGTGGAAGCAAAAAAGAAGCGCTTCTTGATAGGGTGAAAATACACAGCAGGACAACTCTTGTTGCGAATTAGTTCGGCAAGCTCCCGAGGGAGGATGCGAATGCTGTTGAAAACCTCTGGCATGCCTTCAGGATAAACTTTGAGGAGCTCTTGCGACATCTGGCGTCCGTTGAGCTTAGGATGAACCTGCAACTCCATGAAGCCGACAGCTTCTGCTGTAGCAAATCGCCGATACTCTTGCTTCGTGTCGTTCAATGATATTCCCTTCCTTGGCTTCAAGAACACACACAACAAAAAAAACTAAGAGGTTCAAACACCAAAAAAATAAATCATCATCCGTTCAAGCCAGGCACTTCAGATTCTCACAGGCCTTCACCAAGTCGCCAATCCGCAAGCCACCTGAAATGAACTCTGGTTTAAGTCCCCCCCAAAAAACTCGACCGCGGCAAACACACCTTAGTCAATCAACATGTTGGCTTTACGGCCATCGCTCGCCCTGCGTTTTACAAGACCCAACATGTTGTTGTATTGAGCCGAAACACAAGCATCCACGAAGTCTTTCCAATTCTTCTCATGCCCATGCAGTGCCAAAAACTCCTTCGCTTCCTCCTCCGTCAAGTCAGCAACCCAAATGTCTTCCTGTCTTTCAGTTCCACCAGCATCGAAAGCCAGCGCCACTGCTGCCGAGGAGGCTGATACAATCACCTTGGACAAAGGATAATTGGACGGAACTACATTCACTCAACATGGTTTTGTTTGAAGCCTTTGAATTTAGCATTGAAGCTGGGGGGCATGAATGGCACTTCCGATTTTGTCCGTCGCCACATCCTTCGCAGTAGAAGAGATTAAGTTGATGCCTCGGCAAGCGGAACGGAAACAAACAGACTAGGGCAAAATGCGTTACAGCATCGCTAGAAAACTGAAAAAACATATTTTGTCCAGCCAGTCCTTCGGTGGTTGTACGAGGGACTTCAAGAAGAAGGATTGGAAACTTGGTGAGGTTGTTGGGGAAGTCCTTGAGCTTCTCGGGCACTCGCCGCATGACCTCTTTGAACAGCCCTTCGTCATCTACTCCCAGTTGCTTGCACATCCGATCTGCCCAATCGGCACTTCTGATGGTAAATCGAACAACACCTCGCACCCCGCGCAAGGCTTCTTCTGTTGCCACAGACTTTCCTGACTGGTACCGACCCCCAATGATGGTCGCATGTTGTTGCCAGCTCGCAATGCGTTGCCGGAGAGTTTCCATCACTGGCCTTTGGATGACCTCGTCTTGCGGCCTGCTGGGTTCAAAAGGCTCCATGGTCTTGCCAGCGCTTCTTAGTTTGCCTTCTGGGAGAGGCTTTGAACGCCACCACCAATTGCCCAAATGAGCTGCGAAGGCTGCGCACCACGCTAATGAAGAAGTCGCGGTTTCGCCCAACGTCGTCAACGAATTGTTGAAAATCCCTTCCCGACGTGTCAGAGGCATAGGCTGGGGCTGCCATGATGCATGAGCCAACCACATGCCCAATGCCGCGTGCCCCAAGGCGTGGTGGGCATCTCACTGGAACCGCCTCCAAATGACATAGCCATCTGCAAGACGAAAACAAACATCAAACTGGCCTTTTCTTACGCACAAACGCATAACCACAGGAGTTAGGAACCAAGTTGACATGATTTTCATGTCCTTGACCTGTGGTGGTGGCACGAAGGCTCCCATCAACTTCACCAGACTGAAGCCACCAACCAGCACCATCCATGGCTTGACACGCTTTTGGTGCCTTTGGTTCATCGGGTTCATGGCTACAACAAGGAGTGTGCCAACACCACTCCATGCACTTTTACTCCATAATATTTCTTAGTATTGTAAACATTATTTTACACATTGTCTAGGTTGGCTGAGTGTTGCTGGTGTTTTGTTGTAGGCTTCTGTGCTGAATCTATGCACATGCTTCTGTACAAGTATGCCGTTGGGGTGTTAATGACGTTGATGTGATGGTTTCTTGCTAGGTTGTTTGTGGTGTTTGGTGTACATGTTGCTGTGGGAGATGGGGCGGGGTATAGTATTGAACTGGGGGTTGAGGCTCTTTCTGGTCTTTCAGAAGTCATGATCCTCGCGAACCTCATGTCACGACTCGCCTGGCCAAAAAAACAGCAGCCAAGCTGCAAAGACTCCAAGGTCCATGTCGGGTTTCATTGCGCGCGAAGCTTCAGGATCTGCTTCGTGGACAATGCCTTGATTAAAGCCACGAGTTGGGGGACACAACTCGCAGCCCTTCTTTTTCATCTTCAAGAGAAAAAAGGAAAAAGGGAAAAACAAATCAAACAGAAGTACACCCGTTTTCGGAAATGTTGAAGTGCAGGTGCATAGATTTGGATCAGCATGCCTGAATCGTCTTCTGACCTATTTGCGAATATCCTTGAATGGGATTTAAAAATGCACCATCTCACATAGCTGCCACTATGCATGCGTTGCGTGTATGGGGCTGGAAAACATGCACAAGCAAGACAGCGAAGGAGCTGAAGTCTTCCGACCATTTTCGCAAAAGATCGGTCATGGATTTGCCAGTTGCGCTTCAGCGGCTTTCTTATGCAATGTGGAAGCAAAAAGGAAGCGCTTCTTGATAGGGTGAAAATACACAGCAGGACAACTCTTGTTGCGAATTAGTTCGGCAACCTCCCTTGGAAGGATGCGGATGCCATTTACAACATTCAAAATACCTGCCGGATAAGCCGTCAGGAGCTCTTTCACCATCTCGCGCCCCGTGACCTTGGGGTGCACTTGAAGCTCCATGAAGCCTCGCACTTCATCATCAGCAACTCGCTGACATTCTTGCTTCGTGTCGTCCAATGACATTCCTTTCCTTAGTTCAACAGATACACAACACATATCCCTGAGAGGTATTGAACGCCGAAAAAGTAAATCATCATTCGTTCAAGCCAGGCGCTTCAGATTCTCACAGGCCTTCGCCAAGTCGCCAATCCGGAAGCCACCTGAAATGAACTCAAAGTCCCCCCCGAAAAAAACGCTTGAACGCAGCAAGCACACCTTCATCAATCAACATGTTGTTGTATTGAGCTGAAGCACAAGCATCCACGAAGTCTTTCCAATTCTTCTCATGCCCATGCAGTGCCAAAAACTCCTTCGCTTCCTCCTCCGTCAAGTCAGCAACCCAAATGTCTTCCTGTCTTTCAGTTCCACCAGCATCGAAAGCCAGCGCCACTGCCGCCGAGGAGGCTGGTACCATCACCTTGGACAAAGGAAAATTGGACGTAACTACATTCACTCAACATGGTTTTGTTTGAAGCCTTTGAATTTAGCATTGAAGCCGGGGGGCATGAATGGCACTTCCGATTTTGTCCGTCGCCACATCCTTCGCAGTAGAAGAGATTAAGTTGATGCCTCGGCAAGCGGAACGGAAACAAAAAGACTAGGGCAAAATGCGTTGCAGCATCGCTAGAAAACTGAAAAAACATATTTTGTCCAGCCAGTCCTTCGGTGGTTGTACGAGGGACTTCAAGAAGAAGGATTGGAAACTTGGTGAGGTTGTTGGGGAAGTCCTTGAGCTTCTCGCGCACTCGCCGCATGACCTCTTTGAACAGCCCTTCGTAACTACTCCCAGTTGCTTGCACATCCGATCTGCCCAATCGGCACTTCTGATGGTGAATCGAACAACACCTCGCACCCCGCGCAAGGCTTCTTCTGTTGCCACCGACTTTCCTGACTGGTACCGACCCCCAATGATGGTCGCATGTTGTTGCCAGCTCTCAATGCGTTTCCGGATAGTTTCCATCACTGGCCTTTGGATGACCTCGTCTTGCAGCCTGCTGGGTTCAAAAAGCTCCATGGCCTTTGCCAGCGCTTCTTGGATTTTGCCTTCTGGAGAGGCTTTGAATGCCTCGTCCGCCGAGCGCTTTGCTTGATCCAATTGAGCCACTGCAACTGCAGTCCCCGCCACTGAAAGAGTGGCGCTGGCCAAGGCGGCGAAGAAGTCCTTCTTTCCCGCAAACTCTTCAACGAATTGTTGAAAATCCAGCCCCGACGTGTCAGAGGCATAGGCTGGGGCTGCCATGATGCATGAGCCAACCACATGCCCAACGCTGCATGCCCCAAGGCGTGGTGGGCATCTCACTGGAACCACCTCCAAATGACGTAGCCATCTGCAAGACCAAAACATAAAACATCAAAATGTCTTTATCTGAAACACAAAGGGTGTGGTCATCTGAGCACAAAAGTTGGGAACCAACTTGACATGTTCAAGTCCTTGACCTGTGGTGGTGGCACAAACGCTCCCATCAACTTCATCAGACTGAAGTCACCAACCAGCACCATCCATGGCTTGACACGCACTTGGTGCCTTCGGTTCATCGGGTTCATGGCTGCTGATGTGATGGCTTGTTGTTAGGTGTCTTTTGTGGTGTTTTGTGTACATGTTGCTGTGGGAGCTGGGGCGGGGTATAGTATTGAACTGGGGGTTGGGGCTCTTTCTGGTCTTTCAGAAATCATGATCCTCGCGAACCTCATGTCACGACTCATGCACCTGGCAAAAAAAAAACAGCAGCCAAGCTGCAAAGACTCCAAGGTCCATGTCGGGTTTCATTGAAGCTGTGCGAAACTTCAGGATCGACACCCGATTTCGGAAATGTTGAAGTGCAGGTGCATAGATTTGGATCAGCATGCCTGAATCGTCTTCTGACCTATTTGCGAATATCCTTGAATGGGATTTCAAAATACACCATCTCACATAGCTGCCACTATGCATGCGTTGCGTGTATGGGGCTGGAAAACATGCACAAGCAAGACAGCGAAGGAGCTGAAGTCTTCCGACCATTTTCGCAAAAGATCGGTCATGGATTTGCCAATTGCGCTTCAGCGGCTTCCTTATGCAATTTGGAAGCAAAAAAGAAGCGCTTCTTGATAGGGTGAAAATACACTGCATGACAATTCTTGTTGCGAATTAGTTCGGCAAGCTCCCGAGGGAGGATGCGAATGCTGTTGAAAACCGCTGGCATGCCTTCAGGATAAACTTTGAGGAGCTCTTGCGACATCTGGCGTCCGTTGAGCTTAGGATGAACCTGCAACTCCATGAAGCCGACAGCTTCTTCTGTAGCAAGTCGCCGATACTCTTGCTTCGTGTCGTTCAATGATATTCCCTTCCTTGGCTTTCAAGAACACGCACAACAAAAACAAATACGAGGTTCAAACACCGAAAAAGTAAATCATCATCCGTTCAAGCCAGGCGCTTCAGATTCTCACAGGCCTTCGCCAAGTCGCCAATCCGGAAGCCACCTGAAATGAACTCAAAGTCCCCCCCGCAAAAACGCTTGAACGCAGCAAGCACACCTTCATCAATCAACATGTTGTTGTATTGAGCTGAAGCACAAGCATCCACGAAGTCTTTCCACTTGTTCTCATGCCCATGCAGTGCCAAAAACGCCTTCGTTTCTTCCTCCGTCAAGTCAGCAACCCAAATGTCTTCCTGTCTTTCAGTTCCACCAGCATCGAAAGCCAGCGCCACTGCCGCCGAGGAGGCTGATACAATCACCTTGGACAAAGGATAATTGGACGTAACTACATTCACTCAACAGGGTTTTGTTTGAAGCCTTTGAATTTAGCATTGAAGCCGGGGGGCATGAATGGCACTTCCGATTTTGTCCAGGCGCGGCGAGACAATACAAATCATAAGGTGCCCAGGTGCCTCACAACAAGCGGAACTGCCCAAATGACGGCCTTTGGGCACCTGTAGTTTGGGTTTGCTAGAAAACTGAAAAAAAACATATTTTGTCCAGCCAGTCCTTCGGTGGTTGTACGGGGGACTTCAAGAAGAAGGATTGGAAACTTGGTAAGGGTTGTTGAAGTCATGACTTCTCGCTGCTCACCGCATGACCCTCTTTGAACAACCCATCGTCATCGCCCAGTTGCTTGCACATCCGATCTGCCCAATCGGCACTTCTGATGGTGAATCGAACAACACCTCGCACCCCGCGCAAGGCTTCTTCTGTTGCCACAGACTTTCCTGACTGGTACCGACCCCCAATGATGGTCGCATGTTGTTGCCAGCTCTCAACGCGTTTCTGGATAGTTCCCATCACTGGCCTTTGGATGACCTCGTCTTGCGGCCTGCTGGGCTCAAAAGGTTTCATGGCCTTTGCCACTGCTGCTCGGATTTTGCCCTCGGAAGAGTCCCTGACTGCCCGCACTGCCTGTATTGTCGCTACAACAAGACCCGAAGCAGAAACAATGACTTGCCAGACCTTCACGTCCAAAGCTCTGCAATGGGTCGAGCGTGGGCGCAAATCCTCTTTCACCTCGAGGGCAAAGAGTGAGGAGTGAAAAATATACAATGCAATATAAAACCAAAAATATGCAAGAATGGTTTTTATGTCTGACCAAGTAGAAAAAGTTACCAAACAGCAAAGTTTCAATGCTAGACCCAATAAATTGAGGACGCTCAATGAGGCCCCGCAGTCTCGCTGATGCCACCTGCGGATGAAAGAGAAACAAACTACGCACTTTGCATGAATCCATTCAAGACACACCAAATTTACAACATGTTTTATAACAGAATAATAAACGCAACCGTGTCTTGAAACTGCATGTCCATCGCCAACCTGCGGTGGTGGCACAAAGGCCCCCATCAACTTCACCAAAACAAAGACCAGCGCCATCCATGTCTTGATACGCACTTGGTGCCTCCGCTTCATGGCAAAACTATCCCCACACTCAAGTCCCGACTGCAGAAGAGCTCACATTATTCTAAGCTCAGGGCGTGATTTTGGTAAACTTTGTGTCTGATCTTGATTTTGGACGACGTCAAAAACATATTGCACAAGTCTTTGGAAATTCTGCACGCGTGCGTCCGCCCTGATGT